AAAATTAAAAAAAAAAAAAAAAGAAAAGAAAAGCTGTCTCTAAAGGCTTGCTAGAAAATAAATGCAAGGTGGAATGAATTCAGATGAGGAGGCCAGTCCTTCAGAGTTGGAAGGAGGTAAGCACAAGTGGAAGGAAAGACGAATGAACACTTTGTATTCACATGAGAAGTGCTTTCTTAGCTTGCTCTGAGAAAGCCTTGGCAAATCCTCTGCCTTAGAAAAGAAACAGTGATCTCAAAATCTGAGTGGGAGGCTGGGACCTACACGGAGAACTAGCTCAGTATTAGAGCACTGCCTAGCATATAGGGCTCTGGACTTGATCCTCAACACTGAAAACAGAAACAAACCCATAAGCAGGGAGTATGGGAGCATAATAGGACCTTTCAAGGCAAACTGGAAAGGAGGAGTTGCTAAGGATATACAAGGAGCACCTGCAAAGCATCCATAAACCCTAGTGTTTTCCTGTTCCCAAAAACAAGCAGGGTTCCCTATACTAAGTGTTCCATAAATATCACATGGGGCATAAGGCCCCATCCCAGGCTTGAAATCAGATGCCCAATTCAAAGCAGTTATTAAAGAACAAAGGAAAAAAAAATTTCCTCTGAATGATAAAATAGGCCACCAGAAAGATGCCTGCAGCTATGTGCACCTAGGGTAAAACTTCACTTACGCATGACTTCCATGACCCGGTGGCGCAAGAAGGTACGGCTGCTCTGGAGGGCTCCAAAGCGTTTCAGGTCCAATTCCCAGACGTTTTCTGAGGGGTAACCATTTACTATCCATTCGGCGAGGTACCTGTTTAGATGGGGGGCAAACGTTGTTGGGCCTCAGACAATGATACACTCACTTGTCTCACCTGTCATTTGCTAGAAAACTAAGAAAGCACTTCTTGCGTGAGTACAGAGCCCTCATTCCTGCTCTCCTTCCCTCAGCGCTGCCCACACCAAGCCCAGTGCCAGGAGAGTGGCTGGAGGCCTCGCATGGGGCGCCTGCAGGTAGGTATGAAAGATCACGCTGAAAAAGTAATAGTAAAATGGATCAGTGTAAAGAGTGAATGTGGTTTCATCAACAGATTGACACCAAGGAAAGCATATTTGGAGGCTAGCCTGTCACAAAGAACCCCAGGAAGTCCCTTCCCGGTGGAGATGGAAAGACTGGAATTTGATATGAAGGAGAAAAGGGACAGAGGCAGCAAATGCAGCAGCTCAGGGTGAGGGTGGGAGTTCCAGCTCAAGGCAGGAAGTATGAGGCTGACCACAGCCATCTTGAATGCTACTCATATGGTAGGGACCCTGCATGCAGTCACCAGAACAGCAGAACAGAGGTGTGGGGGATAGACTGAGGAAGTGAGAGCACTTGAAAGACGAGCAAAGGGTGTGGACCACAGTCTGCCAACCACACCACACCCCTGGGCAGGTGCTCATGAGCAGCACACAGGCAGAAGGCAGACTGGTGAGGCAGATGTGAGGTTACAGACCATGACTCTACAGGGTCATCCTCATCACTGTCAGCATACAAGACAGCAAAAAAGAGGATAAAGAGAATCAAGGAGACTCAAGGTCAGCAGCCACCTCGGTGACCCATGCAGGTGCTCAGAAAACTCCAAACCATAAGATGGCAAAAAGACAAAAGCTGCCTCCACCAGCTGAGAGTCTGAGGGCTCCTAAGGGTGAGCAGGGCAGGTCTGAGTAAATTACCTTCTCCCATCTCCCACCCAACAAGAACAAACATACAGAGTAAACACAAGACGGAGGCAAGACCTGAAGTGTTTCCTTTTGCCCAGTGACCAGCTAGAACTATTTGCATTTTCATCTGCTGCATGGAGTTTTTGTTATTTGTTTAATCTAAAGATACTCTTTCTTTTTTCTTCCTTTTCTTTTTTCTGCTACCAGGGATTGAACTCAGGACCTTGTGCTTGCCAGGCAGGCACTTAAGCTGCTGAGCCATACCCCTGGGCCCTAAAGATACTCTTAACAATAAACATGGGCTTTTTGGGTTTTTTAAAATGTATTTAGTATATAGTCTATAGGGTCTCACTACACAGATTGGACTTGAAGTGATCCTGTTTTCAGCCTCCCAAGTACTGGGATTACAGGCATGTGCCACCACGCCCAGTCTCAATTGCCATCTCAGCGTGCCCCAGGGGCAGGGCTGGTATGACTCGTGGAGCTGGGGATGGAACCCCAGTCCCTGTGTCTGCCTAAGTAGGCGCTTTAGTCCACTGAACTATCTGGCTTCATGGGCTTTTTTTTTGGAACCAGGGATTGAACTCAGATCCTTGCATTTGCCAGTCAAGCGCTTATCCTACGGAGCCATCTCCCTGGCCCCTTCATGGGCTTTTTAAAGCCTGTATTTTCTCACTATACCCTTAAAGGTTTTAATTTTTTTTTTTTTTTTTTTTGGTAGAACCGGGGATTGAACTCAGGCCCTTGCGCTTGCCAGGCAAGTGCTTATTCCACTGAGCCATCTCCCCGGCCCCCCAAGGTTTTAAAATTTTTGTGTCTGGTCAGGTTGAAATTTTTAAAAACATTTTAATTTTTAATAAAAATTTACGAATTTTTAATAAACATTTACAAACCTGGCACCACACTTGTAAGCCCAGCTTTTTGGGAGCAGAGAGAAAGATCATAAATTTGAAGCAAGCCTGGGCATTTAATGAGACCATGTTTCAAAAGAAACCCAAAAAGTTGGGGTTGGGGAGATGGCTCAGTAGAATAAGTGCTTCCCTGGCAAGCACAAGGGTCTGAGTTTAATCCCCAGTTCTGCAAAAAAAAAAAAAAAAAAAAAGAAAGAAAGAAAGTCAAAAAATAAAAAAAAAAAAGCCTGAGGATGTGGCTTAGTGCCAAGGCCTTGTATGTATTCCCAGTATGTATCTATGTTTTATTTATTTATTTATTTATTTATTTAGAGTGTGTGTGTGTGTGTGTGTGTGTGTGGCCAGCTCAGCCCACCAGGGGGCGAGGCTGGCTGGCATGTGGCACCCGGGACCGAACCGCGGTTGCTGCGCTTTTTTGCTTAGCTTAGCTTGTTCTAAGTAGGTGCCCTAGACCACTGAGCCATCTCACCAGCCCCTGTATCTATGTTCTAAGTGGATTTTCAACTGTGTGAAAGGGTTGGAACCCTTGAACCTCAAATTACTCAAGCATCAACTCTACATATAAAAATGATCACCTTAACTATTCCTTAACTATTGTTAAGGGTAATGTTTAGTGGCATGATGTATACTCACACAGTTGTGTGACCATCAGCACCATCAACTCTCTGTCTTAACAGAACTGGAACTCTGTACCTGTTAAACAGTGGTTCCTTAGTCCCTCCTCTCCTGACAGCTGCTGCTGTGCTTTCTGTCTCTAGGAATGTGACCATGCCAGGATCTCACACATGTGGAATTATACAGTATTTGCATCCCTGGGGACTGGATTGTTTTGGTAGTACATAAAATCTTTTTTTTTTTATTATTTTAGGGAAGGGTCTACAGGGTGTTCATGGTCTCATTACTAGATTGGACTCGTAGTGATCCGCTTATTTACAGCCTCCCAAGAGCTGGGATTACAGGCGCACACCGCCATGCCCAGTCTCAATTGCCCGGCAGGCCTGGTCTCAGCGTGCCCCGGAGGCAGGGCTGGCACAGCAGGCCCGCCGGCTCCTGCTTGCAGGTACTTTAATCCTCTGAGCTATTTGGCTGACCCTAGTACATAAAATCTTAAATAAAAGCATATTACCCACCTTGATTACCTACCTCACTCCCTTCTCTTGGCTACTTCTAAACTTAAAATATACACTTGGGCTGTGGATTTGGCTCAGTGGTAGAATGCTTGCCTAGTAAGCTGGAAGCCCTGGGTTTGGTCCTCAGCACCAAAACCAAAAATATACACCTCCTCTAAAAAAATAATTCAACCAAAAAAATACAGTAAAATCAAAGAAAGACCAAAAACAAGCAAGGCAAATGTAAAATATACACTCAAAGGATCAACACTGCTGCAGTACAGGCTCCATGGATGACTCCAAAAAGAGGAGTTCCTGGGCTGGACAGACATCTCAGTGGCCTAAGTGCCTGCCTGGCAAGTGCAAGGTCCCAGGTTTAATCCCTGGTACAAAAAAAAGAGTACCCAAAACAAGTTCCAGCATGCTATTTCCAGAATACGGGGAGGACTTTCTCATGGTGACTCCTGATACGTATCATTATTATCATACATATAAACTCTCTTATTACTAACACTGCAGATTAAATATATTACACAATGTACTAACAACAGGCAACCATACCCAGGCAGAGCCTCAAAAGCTGCTGCATCGAGCTGACACAGTGTGAGGAGACTTACTTCCCAGCCCCTCCACCGAAGGACAGGCCCGCGGAGTTCATCCCTGCCAGAACAAAGTAGCCACGGACCGCAGGAGACTCGCCCATGATGCATCTCATGTCTGGCGTGAAGGTCTCAGGGCAGTTCACCAACTTCATGATCTCCAGTGTCTCCAATTCTGGCATCCGACGCAGGAGGGAACTCAACAGGGGCTCTGAGTGATAAAAACAAACCCAAACACAGTCTTCAGCTTCAGGGAGTTTAGAAACTTGTTTCAAGCCCATATACTTCTTTTTTTTTTTTTCTTTTAAAAGTTTTATTGATAAACATATAGCAATGAGACAGTTTCAAGCCCATATACTTCTCCTCTCAAAAAGTCTCTTAGAAGGAATTTTTCTAAGGCCAGTTGAGCCTTTTATCAAAAGAAGAAAGCTTGATGAAGTTGGAGGATACATGTGTAAATTTCTTGTCATAAAAACTGAGGAAAATATTCTGTAGAAAGGCAGTATAGGGGCTGGTGAGATGGCTCAGTGGTCTAAAGCACCTACTTAGAACAAGCTTAGCAAAGCCCCGGGACCACGGTTCAATCCCCCAGCACCACATGCCAGCCCGCCCGCCCCCTGGTGGGCTGAGCTGGCCACACACACACACACATAAATAAATAAA